GAACACTGACTGAGGCCTACAGTATTTAAGAAGCTGAGCCAGGACCTGAACAATGATTTGATTCCAAAACGGTGCTTTGGGGTTTTTTTCAGCTTTATTGAGATTTAATTGGCACACAGCTTGGTATGAGTTAAAGGTGTACCACCTAACAATTTGACATATATTGTGAGATGTTTACCACAGTAAGCTCAGTCAACATCCGTCTCCTCATAGAGTTACAAAAAACTTTTTTCCTTGTAATGAGAACTTTTAAGATTTACTCTCTTAGTAACTTTCAAATATACTGTAGAGCAGTGTTAATTGCAGTCATCATGAATTGGATGAAGGTGGTCAAAAGGTACAAACTTCTAGTTATAAAGATAAATAAGTTCTGGGGATATCTGTACAAATCTGTGTTTTTAATGTCTATGCTATCTGGCAACTATGCAAATAGTAATGGAGAAAATGAGCAAAAAATAAAGACAGATATACAGACGGAGACCAGACTGTAAAGGGCTGTGAATGCTACACTTCACAGCTTAATGTAAATGCGGACTTTTAAAATCTTTTCATGGCTTCTCAGAAAACAAAAAACAAAATCAGGTTTATATTCTGAAAAACTAATTTTAATTGCAACAGCTAGTGTAAGAATTGCTTTCTAACATTTAAAATTTTAAACAAAGTTTTACCATCAGAGTCTTCAAGTTTAATATCTGTTAATTGAAATTATATATAATTACCAGAAATGCTTCTATGAATTCAGTAACATTTTCAAATGCATTGGTATCTTGTCTGTTTACGTCGCTCTACATCCATTTGAAAAGCAACAGTACAAATCATAAGACCCTCATTTAGTCTATTGACAACACTGGTATGCACTGAGGATTCAAGTGCACCCAGCAAACCTTTTCACGCCAGACCACAGGTTGGAAACCACCAGTAGAAGGGATGCAGTTTACAGAGAAAGAGGGAAACCACTTAGGGGAGTTTTGTAAATATCAATGGGGGACCCACAGAGTGCGATTCTTTAAAAATTTAGCACTAAACGCAAACAAAAGTGATGACCAGCACACAACTCCCAAAGGACAAAAATGGGGCAGGTGGAGAAACAGACCAGTTGGAAGTAACTGGGGAAGGATTCATATTCTGGCGCCAGGCATGGCAATGAGCTCAAGTTGGCATCCCTTTGGTCCTTCTACAGGGTGACAGTGATACTGAAAACTTCGAACACAGAGATAACAGGACGGGCAGGTGAGCAGGAAGGTGTTGAATTAAGTTAGCCTGATCCGCTCCAGTCATAAAAATTACTACTGTGTTTAAACCTCAACCTAGATAGGAACATTAAGTCACAGACTGGAATGGGTGACCAACCAATGCAATGAGCAATATACTCAGTTTTCAATTTCATTGGTATCTTGTCTGTTTATCACAGGTTTTTAAATGCTCCATAAACAGAGGGACAGAGGCAACTATTAGGTACAGAAAATTAAAAGGTGCTGAAGAAAAGGACTAAAATTAGAGGGTCCAGGCTGCATTTTCTACCAGTTCCTCTCCCACTCCATGACCTTGCTAGAATCAAGCTTCCCCTCTGCCTCTGCCTTCAAACCATTACATTATTTGGCTTTCAACCCGTGTTTAATCATAAACTAGCTCAATACATTATTAATATTCCAAACCACATTTCCAACCAGATAATAATCCAATATCATGATGTTGAATTACCTTAAAAGGTTATGTTCCTACATTTGTTTTGATTTCAAATATGAAACTAACCAGAAGTATATGTACACTTTTAAATATCGAAGAAACACTTTGAAATAAACAAAAAGAGTCATGAAATGACAATAATTGGCAGAATAACAAGCACTAGCCCTCACCTTACCCTTTCTCCTCCTCCCAGAACAAAACAAATTTAAGACTTTAACTTTGGTTGTGGGAATAATACATTAGTTATTTAAAATCGCTGACGGAGAATGGAAATGGCAAAGACATACGGCCATGGACTCTGGTCATCTTTCAAAGATGTACAAGGTTATCGGGGTTTTCTGACCTTGGGTTGGTCAAAGCTGCAGCTGAGAATAAAGGTAGCAGATTATATTATATGCATATTACATACAATACATATAATATGTATATTATAGTATATAATATATTAATGTATTTATTTGTGTTATATGTATATATATATAAACACATATATGAATGATATAATTCACATAATATAATACATATATGCCTATATATGTGTACTGTGTATATATAAAAATATATATATATATGAATGAACCACTTATGCTTCAATGTATGTAGAAGAAAATATGATAGAAATGGAAAAATGGAGCAAAACTATTAGTAAGCAGAAGAAAGATTTACACTATAATCTTCCTTGCTTTCCAAAGTAGTTTATAAATACACTTTGGAATCAATATTTTATCCTCAAATTAGGGGTTCTCAGGGTTAAGTGGTTGTGGAATGAGACACTCATTCACTCTGCTTCTTTTGGCAAGAGCGATATTTTAAAATATGTGCTCTGGTTATAAAGGCAAAGCTAAGGAGACAGATAAATTTGGACACTAACTGGAGAAATAACATAAACCTAACAGTGAACACAATGCTGTCACTTCAATGTCCCAAGTATACCAAAAGTATATGTGAATATGTAAATTATTCACATATCTTCAATGAACGTACTGCCTCGCTCCCTGTGGCACTAGGGGGAAAAAGTCACTTGATTTTAATTTCATGAGAGTTAACCATATTAAAATTATATGGCAAAGCCTTTAGAAAGATTTGGCTTTCTGCTAATGATGAACAAAGCACTCTACAGAGTTGCCAAATCATTGCTGACAAACACTTTTAGGTGGAGTGGGATGGTGGTGGGAAGATGAGCACATTTACCGTGCACACGGGGTATCTTTTATCACAACACACCTCCCCAGAGTTTATTAGATACAAATATCTCACAGAAGTCTCCAATTATAAGCAAGCTATCACACACAAAAAAATGTTTGGATTTCAAATATCTGTATACTGAAAAAGGAAAGGATGTGAAATCATCCATATTCACAGATTCCCTGAAGCAAATACAGAACTTGCAGATACAAACTCCACACAGGAGGCCTGTATGGCCAAAAAAGTATCCCCATATTTCTTCCCTTCTCCCTCTCTCCATCTCAACATTCAAACACAGAAGGGCAAGTTTGAGTTCTAAAATTATGCAGTATACATACTGCTAATGGAAAATTACCTTTGGAAGCCTTGACTTTTCAAGGTTTATGAATGGGGGAAGTTATTTCCCTTAACTACATTGCTGGAATTTTTCCACTCTCATTTCAATTCAGAATACAGTGTTTATTCTTCTCCCAACCTCCCCACGCGCTCCCCTCACCCCGTTCTAAGTCACCTTCAAACCAGCTCAAGTTTCAGTACAAAAAGACGGCAAAGCTAATTTCTTAGACGCCCCCCATCTCCATCTCCCGCCACTGTCTAGTGGGTAATGATACATTCACTTTCCTTTAGCGTGAAAAACATAACATTTAAAGTTTATCTTTTTTTCCCCCACATACATAATTTACTTCTTTAAGGAGAAATGAATTGTTTTAAAGTACTGTTTGCTTTGGGATTCTTGAATATTTTGTTTTTCCATGGAATAACCTTTAATCCTAATTTGAATTTTTACATACGCTGAGAAGACCAGCACGTGGCATCAATAACCCTTAAATGACTGCAAGGCTGGTAAAGGCAATACTTTTGGTTCCTGATTCACATCTGCTCCAAAGACTTCTTTAGCATCATTATAAAAGTCATCTTTTTCATCCAATAATAAAACGGCTAGAAGTCCTGGTGTTAACATTCTACAGACAAACGTAACCCTAATGCGTTGATCAAGGAACTTCCAAGAGACCATCTCCTTTTTAACGGCAAAGAGGGGAATGGAAGATCTCCTCCCTGAGGCACAGCTGGGAAACTAACAACCCTTGAGTAAGTGATTTCAGGATATCTTAGTCTTATCAATGCCGACTTTGGAAAACGTACGCGCCTTGACTCACACACCCTGGGCTCCAGAAGCTGCCTCGGAGAAAGCATCTCTCCAGGTGCGCCACAGGTGTCTAACCTCCTCCATCCGCCCTCCCACACAACACACAATACGCTGCCCAAGCAGGTATGTTTCAGGCATTTCCACTTCTAGCCACCCCAAAGAAACGCTCCCGAGGACCCTGGGCCGTCTCTGCCCAGCAGGTACATCCCAGGCGTCCTGGCACGGACGTGGGCTGCTCCACAGAGATGCGCGGTCCCCAAACCCGCGGGGCCAAGCTCTCGACTCTGTCCTGGCAGAGGAGATCCGGGGAAGCCAGCGAGACCGTCGGCGGGGAAGGCAGCGCTAAGCTTCGCTGGACGTTAAATCATAGGAGGCGCAGAACTTGCAAAGTCCCCCAAACTGCTGAGCGAACCAGCCTGAGGCGCTGCGCAAGCTAAGGTCCAGGAGGCGGCTGAAAGCAGAGTGGCGGGAGCGGCCGCAAGGCCGCCAACTCTTGCGGAAAGAAGAGGAGTAAAGGCACTCACCTCCACCCATCTCTGGGCCTCGGCGAACGCTAGGGCACAGTCGGCCTCCGCCTCCTCCATCACTTCCAGAACTAGGGGGAGAGGGGGAGAGAGAGACATAGTGGGTGCGCGGAAAGGCGGGAGTGCCGCGCGCGTCCGGCCCGCTGCTCCGGCCTCTCTCCGGCTGCAAGACGCCCGGACTCTCTGACCCTTTGTTGCACCCTGCAGTTCGGTAAAGTTTCGAACCCACGAGAACTTGAAGCCGGGGCTTTCTCTAAACTCCTGAAAACGCCGCGGAGACCCAGGCAGAGCGCGGGAGGCGGAGAGGGCTACCAGAGGCGGCGCGCAGCACCAACCCAGAGGACTGTTTGGACTTCAAAAGTGGCTGCGCGGCCGCCGCCCTCCCGGAATGCCCCGCCCCCGCGCACCCCAGCCGCCCACCCCCGGCCGGCCAGCCAGCCGCCGCTTCCGTCCTCCCCACCCTACCCCCCGCCGCGCCCGGGGGCTCCCGGCCGCAGCGGCCTTTGTGGTCGGACAGTCTGGCCCAGGGGATGCCACCGTCCGCCAGGAGGCCGTGGCCCGGGCCACGCACCCGCTCCCGCGCCACCCGCCGGACCGCGGCCCCGCCCGGAGGAGATGCGCCCCCGCGCCCGCATCCTGTCCGCATCCTTCCCGCCTCCGGCCGCCTGGCCGCCTTCCCTCTGCCGGGGCCCCAGGAAGAGGCGCCCCCAGGGCTCGCGGCCGCCCGGCCCGCCTGACATACCAGGAATAGCTGCTCACAACTGCACCTTTCCCAGCCAAGAAACGTCCCCCGCGGTGGAGCGCGGCCCAGCCCGCCGCCCTCACCTGCGGCCCGTCTTCGCAGCGCGCCGCTCCCTCTCCGGCGGAGTCCGCTGCGCGCCCGCCCCGCCGCCAGGTGAGGACGTCCGCACTCCCAGGTCTCCGCCCCCTGCCGCGGCCAGAGCTTTCCTGGCGGCAGGTGAGGGTAGTGGCCTTGGCATGTGCGGCCCATTTCCCCCAGCCTGGGCCAGCCCCTCGCCTTTTCGCTTCCAGGTGGGTGAGGTGGAAGATACCTGCCACTCAGGCCCCATCCCTCCGCGAAGGGTCGGAGAGGAGGGGAACCCAGCGTTCCCCCGCCCTCACCCTGAGCGTCACACCCGCCACCCTGCGTGGTCTGGGAACACTTAGGGAGCAGTAAGGTGACGGGTTACTCACCATCCGCAGGGGGCCTGGGTAGGTGCGCAGGACTGGAGGGTCGGAGGCTCAAGGGTTGCCTTACGCGGGTTCTTTTCCCACAGAAATCAGATCTCCGGAAAGGAACCTGCTCGTCTGTCTAGGCTCCCTGGAATCTCGCTTCATGCTCCTGAAGCCCTATCCGGGCCCACACGTTGATGTTGTCACTGTTGGAAGAAGATAAAGATCGATTCTTACTCCGGTAAAGGAAGCCATACCTTTTTTTTTTTTTTTTTTTTCCTGGTTGATCCTCTTTATGATGCAAAACGACGTCAAAGAGCACAGAGACTAGTATAATGGATAGCTAAAACCTAGTTTTGCCTTATTTACCTCATCACATTTTCTGCTGAAAATATACATATTTCCTACTTAAAGATAAATATTTCAGGGCCTCCCTGGTGGCGCAGTGGTTGGGAGTCCGCCTGCCAATGCAGGGGACACGGGTTCGAGCCTTGGTTCGGGAAGATCCCACATGCCGTGGAGCAACTAAGCCCACAGGCCACAACTACTGAAGCCCGCGCGCCTAGAGCTCGTTCTCCGCAACAAGAGAAGCCACCGCAATGAAAAGCCTGTGCACCGTAACCAAGAGTAGCCCCCGCTCGCCACAACTAGAGAAAGCCCGCGCGCGGCAAAGAAGACCTAACGCAGACAAAAATAAATAAATAAAATAAAATTTTTTTAAAAAGATATTTCCTCTCTATTATAATATACATCTCGTTCTTTAAAGAACGCTTTTCTACATAACCATATTACCATTTTCACACCTAACTAAAGCTAACCTTAATTACTTAGTATTAATATATGCCCAGTCCAGATTCAAATTCCTCCAATGGATTCCAAAATGTCTTTTACAGCTGACTTAGACCAGAATTCAAACAATAACCACACATTGCGTTCGGTTACCTCATTTTTTTTTTAGCCTAGAATAGCCTCCTCCTTCTCTCCCACTCTACCCCCTCCCCCTTTTTCGAATGACATTATCTTCTTAAAAAGAAACCAGGCAGACTTCTAGATTTGTCTTATGGCTTCTTTGTGGTGTGTTCAACATATTTCTCTTCCCTCACTATTTCTTGTTACCTAGAAGTTAGATCTAAAGGCTGGATTAAACTCATTTACACTTCTGAATAAAGATTTCACCAGCATCCTTCCCGATTGGGGTGACTTCTGGAGGAATTTGTTATGTTTATTTTCATCCAACCCTTTTTTCACTGGCGTTGTCTGTAATCAGTGGGTCTGTTTAGAAGTGCTCACAGTTGTTCCTGCTAAAGTGGGAAACGGTCGACTGGATCATCTCTTTGCCTCCTGACGACACCATGATCAGGACAAACCCAAAATGAGGAGGAAAGGATAAACGAAACTAGGAAGAAATTTCTTTCCGGCTATTTAAGACCTGTTCTATTAAATATTTAGTGAGCACATTATATGTGTAATGTGCTGGGTATCATAAGTGTTACAAAAATTTTTAAATTTTAGACAGTGAATCCTATGGACTTCCAACCCAGTAGAAAGACAGACATTCTGCAAGCTTCATGAGTGTTACTGTTACTACAGTTGTTTTATATATATATACTATACCATTTAAAGCTACTGCTGTGTCACTTGACTTACAGCTTTGGGGGCAGCAGCCCAGGATGGCAAGAAGTGCACAGGCTTGGGAACCTGTATGACTAAGGTTACCAGGTTACCAAATTCTGTGAGCTTCAATTTCCTCACCTGAAAAATGTGGTGATAATAACTACTTCGAAGGGTTCTTGTGAGAATTAAATGTGATGGTGTATGTAAAAGCCAAGGGCATTGCTCGGCATGGAGCAGGCACTCAATAAATGATGGTTATTTCCCGTTCGTCTCTCTCTAACAGTAGTGTGTCAAATATGGATTCTTCCTAATAAGTGGGAATTTCATTTATTTGCTCAAATACTCACAGGGAAAGAGCTGTAGGGTACTGCAGATTCTGTTTCAAGTCAGCTCAAGCACCAGCCATTTCTGTCACTTCAGTGTTGCAGATTTACAACTCACGAGACCGAAATCCGGTTCTTTGTGTCTTACCATCAGTCATTAGAGTGTTTTATCCTTTTGGAAAGATTTATACAGCTCTATAGAGAAAGGTAACCTGCCTTAGGAGTTAAAAATGAAATTCACAATAACAAAACATCACAGATATTATTTATTTTCCCAAAGAATTTGAGGTGCCTTTCAGTATTTAAAAACATAAAACAGTACACTTGTCATGTTCTTATATATTAGTGACGAACTGAACTGTTGGTAGGTGAAAGTGACCCATCTTTCTGGGAGGTAATTTGGCAATAAATATTAAAGGTTTTTAAAATGCCCACGTTCTACTGCAGTAGTCCTACTTCTGGGAATTTATCCTAAGGATGTGAGTGAAGATATATGCACACAATGAGCATCTGCAGTGGACACAGAGACGCACTGGCCAAACCTCCCTTTGGAAGTCTACCTCAGCCACAGAGTGCAGCCTCACCTGAGGTCATGCCCTGCCAGAGCAGCCCTTGTCTGGTGACTGAGTGACTTGAGGTTATAAAAGCCCAGTCATTTCCACCCAATTCAGGACAACTCTGACGGGCCCTTTCTGTAGATATGAGGTCTGTTGAAGCAGTCAACCTCTGTCATAGTTCAACTTCTCCCTTGCCCATTGCTGTTCCTTCCCTCTTCACTTCCCTGGGGTCAATCCCTAATAAATATCTTATGTTTCAAGTGGCATTTCTGTCAGTTTCTGGAAGACTCAACCTGTGATGGCATTACACATGATTTGCTAGAAATGAGAATCTCGAAGCAATCTAAACAATAGAGATGGTGGAGTAAATTATGGTTCTTCCATAGAGTGAGATATTGTGCAGTCAATAAAAATGTAAAAGGATGTTCAATGACACAGAGAGATGTTTAAAAATATATTACGAAGAGGGAAAAAAAAATCTATAAAGCACCCCAATTTGGTGATTGCATTTTTTTTTATTGGGTATAGTTGTTTTACAATGTTGTGTTACTTTCTACTGTACAGCAAAGTGAAGTAGAGTTCCCTGTGCTCTACAGCAGGTTCTCATTAGTTATCTATTTTATATATATTTGTGTGTATATGTCAATCCCAATCTCCCAATTCATCCCACTGATTGTATTTTTAAAATGCATAGTTTTCCACAAAGAACAAATTGGAAAAAACTTCACTCCCTCCCAAAAAATGGGAGTTCCCTGGTCGCCTAGTGGTTAGGATTGCGGACTTTAACTGATGTGGCCAGGGTTCAGTCCCTGGTCAGGGAACTGAGATCTCGCAAGCCACGCAGCACAGCCAAAACAAAACAAAACAAAACAAAACAAAACTCCATCCAAAGTTTAACACTGGTTGGGTGGACATTTCATACTTCTCTCTCTTCTACAATTTTTTGGTAAGAGACATGTATACTACTTTTATAAATGAAAACATTTGTATGACACAAAGATACATCCAAAATTGGCTTTCTATCTCATCCCACAGACTTCCCCTTGCCTTCCCTGACTTGTAAATGGTACCACACCTGAAATTTGGGGGTCATGCTGGACTTCACGTCTCTTACCTCCACGTCCACCCCATCCCCAGTCCTGTCCTTTCTGTCTCCTCAATATCACTCCAATTGGCCCCTCTTACTCATCCTCATTTCCACTTTAGTTCAGGCCCTCATTAGCTCTCAGCCAGATTTCAGAAATTGTATGACCTTTCTAAAGTTAAATCTTATCTTATCATTCTACCCAATTAGCTTCTCCTTCAAGGACTCCCAGTTGCCAGCTTAACGGCCATCTGATCGTTGCCAGAACATTGACATCCTTCAGGACTTGCTGCTGCCCTCTTCTCTAACCATGTGTCTTGACCCGTATTTTTCCCTTTGTGAGAAACGTGCTTCTCTCCCTTTCTTTGCCTGGCTTTCTCCTACGTATTCTTCCAGGCTCAATCAGGCCTCTTCCTTCTCAGAATCCTTCAAAATATCTTTGCAGATCATCCTGGGCTACATTAGTTACCCCTTCTTTTTTTAAAAAATATTTATTTATTTATTTATTGGTTGTGTTGAGCCTTCCTTGCTGTGCGTGGGCTTTCCCTAGTTGCAGCAAGCAGGGTCTACTCTTCATTGCGGTGTGCGGGCTTCTCATTGCGGTGGCTTCTCTTGTTGTGGAGCACAGGCTCTAGGCATGTGGGCTTCAGTAGTTGTGGCATGCGGGCTCCATAGTTGTGGCTCGTGGGCTCTAGGGCACAGGCTCAGTAGTTGTGGCGCATGGGCTTAGTTGCTCCGTGGCATATGGGATCTTCCCGGATCAGGGCTCGAACCCATGTCCCCTGCATTGGCAGGCGTATTCTTAACCACTGCTCCACCAGGGAAGCCCAGGTACCTTTTCTTTATGTAATCATAGCCCCTTCAATCACGAGGTATTATACTGTCTGTCTTCCTCATAGAACTATGAGCAACTTAGGAGTGCCTAACTCTGCCTGACACGTATCTGGTGTTCAACCATTGATTACTGACTGGTGTGGGTATGGGTATAAACTATATAACTTTTAATGCACAGAAGTAATAAAACATTAATAGGAGCAGAGTAGAAAATACCAGTGATTACTGAAGGTAATATAAGAATTTCTTTACAGTAGGATTTCTCAACAGGTATACTACTGACAATCTGGGCTGGACAATTCTTTGTCATAAGGGATTGTCTTGTGCATTGTAGGATATTTAGCAGCATCCCTGGCCTCCACCCACTAGATGCTAGTAGCACCCTTGTAGCTGTGACAATCAAAAATGTCTCCTGGGGGCCAAATCACCACCAGCTGAGAACCACTGCTCTACAGGGAGAGACTGGCTTCATCGATTAGTGCTTTGGTTCAGTAGAGGTGCCCAAGTTTTTTTAAACAAGTGTGTGGGGTAGAGTAGAGAGGAGTTAGGTGAATTGTGGGAAAGGAGTTACTCTGTGTTATGAAAGAGGAAGGGGCAGGGAAGCACTGGGCTGGATGATGCCTGGGGCAAAGATGATAAGAATGAAGGGACTTTGTGGCTGGAAAGAATTGCAAGAAGAGACAGGTACAGTGGAAACACTTCTAATAAAATAACTGAGTTTTATACTCTGGTTGAATATGGCTCATAAAAATGTCAACCCTCACGGATTCAGATAGCCAACATCCACATGGCCGGTATATTTCTCATGCTTATAAAACACATTTATTAACAGGAAGAGTCACTCCTAGAAGGTAGATGAAAAAATATAATGACATTGTCTCTGTTTGCAGATGATAGGATCTTGTATAGAGAAAATTCTAAAGAATCCACCAAAAAGCTTATAACTAATAAAAGAATTCAGTAAAGTTGTGGATACAAAATCAACATACAAAAATTATTTGCATTTCTATACACTGACAACAAACTACCTGAAAAAGAAAGAAAAGAATCCTATTTT